ATATTAGCTACAGAGAGAAATCTCTCCAGCATCAAGGTTGAAATAGCTTTTCTTTTACGCATTCCCTGCAAACAAATGAAGCTCGAACAATATTTACACCTTTTGAATCTCCTAGTCCAGATGGTCTACAAACTGGGTCATTTAGTTCTCACCTACATTTCTTTCGTCTTTACTAAATTCACATTGCACTTTAGTAGGAGGGATATCTAAAAGTAAGCCCTCAATAAGGCCTCAAAGAGAAAGAAAAAGTTAAAGTTAAGAAAGAGACTAAATAGGAGAGAATATACAATAAAGAAAAAAAATATATCTACACACATATATTTTTGAGGCAGAGTCTTGCTTTGTGGCCCAGGTTGGAGTGCAGTGGCATGATCTCGGCTTACTGCATCCTCCACCTCCCAGGTTCAAGCAATTCTCCTGCCTCAGCCTCCCAAGTAGCTGGGATTACAGGCACCTACCACCACGCCCAGCTAATTTTGCATTTTTCGTAGAGACGTGGTTTTGCCATGTTGGCCACACTGGTTTTGAACTCCTTACTTCAGGCAATCCACCTGCCTTCGCCTCCCAAAGTTTTGGGATTATAGGCATGAGTCACCACACCTGGCCAAAGAAAAAAAACTTTTTTTTTTTCAGACGGAGTTTTGCTGTTGTTACCCAGACTGGAGTGCAATGGCATGACCTCCGCCTCCTGGGTTCAAGCAATTCTCCTGCCTCAGCCTCCCGAGTAGCTGGGACTATAGGCACGCACCACCATGCTCAGCTACTTTTTGTATTTTTAGTAGAGACGGGGTTTCACCTTGTTGACCAGGATGGTCTCGATCTGTTGACCTCGTGTTCCACCCTCCTTGGCCTCCCAAAGTGCTGGGATTATAGGCATGAGCCACAACTCCTGGCCAAAGAAAAATATTTTTGTAATCTAAGGCATCATATTGAGATACATGAAATGGCCAGGTGAGGTGGCTCATACTTATAATCTCAGTATTTTGGGGGGCCAAAGCAGGAGGATCAGTTGAGGCCAAGAGTTCAAGACCAGCCTGGGAGCATGGCAAGACCCCATCTCTACAAAAATTAGCAGGGCATGGCGGCTTGTGCCTGTAGTCCCAGCTACTTGGGATGCTGAGGTGGAAGGATTACTTGAAACCAGGAGGTCAGGTTGCAGTGAGCCAAGATTGTGCCACTGCTGCCAGGGTGACAGAGAGAGACCCTGTTCCCCACCAAATAAGAAATATATGAAATGTATAAAAACAAAGATTAATTACTAAAAATATATGGACCAAAAGAAAAAGAATTGAAAGGAAAAAAACATCCAATTTTTCATTTGTCAAAAAAAGGTTGAAAATCAAGCATGATAGGCAAATATTCCAACATACATTCCCTAAATAAATCAAACTGTTCTTTAGGACATCCACCCCACCCCATTCCTGCTACCAGTATCAGATGATCAAGGTCAAGTCTCTCAGAGAGTCACTGGTTAATTTTCATAAATCCAACAAAATGGCATTCAAACCCCTTTGCAATCTGAACCGTAAATTGTCATTGTTGTAGAAGGTGGTAAGACAGTTAATTTTATGTGTGAATTTGTCTGAGCCACAGTGCTCAGATATTTGGTAAAATACCATTCTGGAGTTTCTAAGTATATGCCATATATATATATATATATATTTTTTTTTTTTTTTTTTTTTTTTTTGAGATGGAGTTTCGCTCTTGTTACCCAGGCTGGAGTGCAATGGCGCGATCTCGGCTCACCACAACCTCCGCCTCCTGGGTTCAGGCAATTCTCCTGCCTCAGCCTCCTGAGTAGCTGGGATTATAGGCACGTGCCACCATGCCCAGCTAATTTTTTGTATTTTTAGTAGAGACGGGCTTTCACCATGTTGATCAGGATGGTCTCGATCTCTTGACCTCGTGATCCACCCGCCTCGGCCTCCCAAAGTACTGGGATTACAGGCTTGAGCCACCGCGCCTGGCAGAGTAGATGCTATTTTTTAATGGATGAGATTAACATTTAACTCAGTATAATTTGAGTAAAGCATATTACCCTCCATACGAATAGGTGTCATCCAATAAGTTGAAGATCTTAATAGAACAAACACTGATTTCCCCTAAGCAAGAAGGAATTCAGCTAAAAGACTGATTACGGCCTTGAAACTGCCACTCTTTCCTGGGTCTCCAGCCTAGCCTGCAGATCTTGAATTTACCAAGCCTCCACAATTGTGTGAGCCAATTCCTTAAAATAAATCTCTCACTCTCTCTCTACACATACAAATGCACATGTGTGCACACACACATGTACCCTGTTGACTATGTTTCTCAGGAGAACCCCAATATAGAGATAAAATCAAAGATTCTATAATAAGAAATATGAATTCTGGCCCTGGATCTGCCATCTACTAACTGTATATATTGGAAAAGTTACTTTACTTTGGGAGGCCAAGGTGGGTATCACCTGAGGTCCAGAGTTCAAGATCAGCCTGGCCAACATGGTGAAACCCTGTCTCTACTAAAAATACAAAATTAGCTGGGAATGGTGGCGCATGCCTGTAATCTCAGCTATTCAGGAGGCTGAGGCAGGAGAATAGCTTGAACCAGGGACATGGAGGTTGCAGTAAGCCGAGATCGTGCCATGGCACTCCAGACTGGGAAACAAAAGCAAGACTCCAAATCAAAAAACAAACCAACAAATAAATAACATGGGAATAAATGAGGCTGAGTGTCATTGTGCATACATGTAGTCCCACCACTTTGGGAGGCTGAGATGGGAGGACTGCCTGAGGCCAGGAGTTTGAGGCTAGCCAGGGCAACATAGTAAGACTGTCTCTACAAAAGAAATTAGCTGGGCTCCTGCTTGAGCCCAGGAGTTGAGGCTGCAGTGAGCCATGATCACACCACTGCACTCAGGCCCAGGCAACAGAGCAAGACTGTCTCCAAATAATAATGATAATAATAGTAATAAAATAAAATGGGAAAAAGTAATCCCTTTAGCTCTTTAGCCAGGTTAGATTGCATTCCATGTCATTCTCTTATTATCTCTATTCCTCTGTTCCTGCTACACCCTTTGCCTCTCTTTGCTGTTCTTGTCTACTTAGATAACTTACTTTTCTTCCCATACCTGTGACAGTTTTAAAAACAGCTCCATGAATTCTTTGATACTCTTAAAGTTTAATTCCTCTCCCATTCAGTATTGCAGCTTCCATCTTTTTTTTTTTTTTTTTTTTGAGACGGAGTTTCGCTCTTGTTACCCAGGCTGGAGTGCAATGGCGCGATCTCGGCTCACCACAACCTCTGCCCCCTGGGTTCAGGCAATTCTCCTGCCTCAGCCTCCTGAGTAGCTGGGACTACAGGCAAGCGCCACCATGCCCAGCTAATTTTTTGTAGTTTTAGTAGAGACGGGGTTTCACCATGTTGACCAGGATGGTCTCGATCTCTTGACCTCGTGATCCACCCGTCTCGGCCTCCCAAAGTGCTGGGATTACAGGCTTGAGCCACCGCGCCCGGCCCTTCAGCTTCCATCTTGTCTCTCTCTGCCCTCCCCACCATCACTTGTTACATGTGAAGCCAGCTGCTTGATCTTGGACAGCCCTATGGAGAGGCCTAGTGGCAAGGAATTGAAGCTTCTACCCACAGCCACTGACCTGGGAGGCAGATTCTCCAGCCCCTCCATGACTTGAGCCCCAGTCAACAAGTTCACTGAAATGTTACAGTAGATAGCTTGTCAGACATGGGCAGAGCAGAAGAGGGGCCCCCACACAAGGAATGTCAGGCAACCATAAGGTGATTATTTCTTTTTTTTTTTCTTGTGTCCCTCCCCCCAGCTATTTATTTATATTTTTGAGACAGAGTCTTGCTCTTTGCCCAGGCTGGAGTGCAGTGACACAATCTTGGTTCACTCCAACCTCTGCCTCCCGGGTTCAAGCAGTTCTCTGCCTCAGCCTCCTGAGTAGCTGGAATTACAGACACACGACACCACGCCTGGCTCATTTTTGTATTTTTAGTAGAGACAGGGTTTCATCACGTTGGTCAGGCTGCTCTCAAACTCCTGACCTCGTGATCCACCCTCCTCGGCCTCCCAAAGTGCTAGGATTACAGGCATGAGCCACCGTACCCGGCCCAAGTGATTATTTCAACCATCTCTCTAAAATAATAATTGGCTGCAGCCAGTGCCAGGGAAAGAGTTTCCCAATAAACAAAAACACCAGAAAATGGTGATCATCAGCTTCCCAATAAGATCTCAGGAATTGGGTGAGTGGGCTCAAGCATGCACATTGAGGCAAAATGGCAGTTTAACTGATACATGACCTTCTAGAAACATTTGACTGGTAAGGGAAGAAGGCCTCAAGCGAGCATGCATACACCACCAGTAAACACGCTGCGCATGCTCCCCTCCCTAGCTCTAGTAGGCCACTCTGCATGCAGACAGCCCAGCCCCAGAGAAGAATCAGGGTAGAAGGGATGCAAGACCCTGGAAGCATGCCATCATACAAAGCCCAAGTCAAAAAGTCAAACCGCACACTTCATCTCTCAAGTCGCCCCTTGGGCCTCTTCCAAGTGTACTTCCTTTCATTCCTGTTCTAAAAGATTTTTAATAAACTTTCACTCCTGCTCTAAAACTGTCCTCAGTCTCTCCTTTTGCCTTATGCCCCTCAGTTGAATTCTTTCTTCCAAAGAGGCAAGAATTGAGGTTGCTGCAGACCTGTATATCTTTGCCACCACTAACAGTCACCTCATGAAAGACGCTGAGCCAGAACCGCCCACCTAAAGCTTCTGAGCCTCAGAAACTGTGTGAGAGAATATATATTTCTTGTTTTAAGCAGCTATATTTTGAGGTAGTTTGTTACACAGCAACTCATTAATACCTCACATACTCAAGTCTAGCACATAAAGATCTCTTATAATAGTTAAGCTAAAAATGAGTGTTTCTTATGTGTCATACATTGTTCTAAACCTTTTGCAAATAATATCCCATTTAATTGTTATAAAGACTCTAGGAGATATATTCTTACCTCCATTTTACAGATGAGGAAACAGGTCAAGTTATAGAAAGCTGAGTAGGCCGTGCAGGGTGGCTCACACCTGTAATCCCAACATTTTGGGATGCCAAGGTGGGCGGATCGTTGGAGTCCAAGAGTTTGAGATCAGCCTGGACAATGTGGTGAAACACCATCTTTACCAAAAAATACAAAAATTATGTGGGCATGGTGGCACACACCTACAGTCCCAGCTACTCCAGAGGCTGAGGTGGGAGGATCAATTGAATCCGGGAGGTCGAGACTGCAGTGAGCTGTGATTGTGTCACTGCATTTCAGCCTGGGTGGCAGAGCGAGACCCTCTCAAAAAAAAAAAAAAGAAATACTGAGTAACTTGCCTCAAGGTCACACGGCTAGCAAATGTTGCTGAATTAAAGAATGAATAATCGGCCGGGTGCGGTGGTTCAAGCCCGTAGTCCCAGCACTTTGGGAGGCCGAGGCGGGTGGATCACGAGGTCGGCAGATCGAGACCATCCTGGTCAATATGGTGAAACCCCGTCTCTACTAAAAACTACAAAAAATTAGCTGGGCACGGTGGCGTGTGCCTGTAATCCCAGCTACTCAGGAGGCTGAGGCAGGAGAATTGCCTGAACCCAGGGGGCAGAGGTTGCGGTGAGCCGAGATCGCACCATTGCACTCTAGCCTGGGTAACAAGAGCGAAACTCCGTCTCAAAAAAAAAAAAAAAAAAAAAGAATGAATAATCACATTTCTTATAAGCAGAACTTTATTTCATTTCATTCACTTCAGAATCTGTTTTAGTGCCTAACTCAGTATACAACTGGGACTCAAATATTTGTTAAATCACTATCTCATAAAAAAGGCAGCTTAGTTTTTCAAGAATGAAGTCTTAGAAACCCTGATTATGGATTATTTTTTTTTTTTTTTGAGACAAGTCTCACTCTGTCACCCATGCTAGAGTGCAGTGGCGAGATCTCCGTTCACTGCAACCTCCACTTCCCAGACTTACATGATCCTCCCAACTCAGCCACCTCAGCCTCCTGAGTAGCTGGGACTACAGGTGTGCACCACCACATCCAGCTAGTTCTTTGTATTTTTGGTAGAGACAAGGTTTCACCGTGTTGCCCAGGTTGGTCTCCAGCTCCTGAGCTCAAACAGTCCTCCTGCCTTGGCCTCCCAAAGTGCTGGGATTATAGGCATGAGCCACTGTTCCTGACCTGATTGTGGATAATTTAAATTGACTTCCAAAACATAATGCTTTTCCTTTACTGAGAAGAAATAAGTGTTAAAGTAAACATATATGTGAGGAGATTAAAAATAAACTTTAGAGGATTTTTACCTTTCTCTACACATCTTCCCCCGCAGTGGCTTGACAAGAGTTAAAGTGTGTTGATAGTCTGGTTATATACTAAATTTCATTGTTCCTGATTCTGTTAAATAAAAATTACAGGAGGCCACTGTTTTAGACTAATCTCCTGCAATAGGTCCCAACAAACTAGGCTGAAAATCAAAACAGTCACCCATACAGAAGTTTCATGTCACCAAACTAAGTTGTTAACTGAGAAATCAAGAGAGAGGGGTTAACAGCCAATCTCCCAAACAGGCCAGTTTTAATCTGCATAATAATAAAGTCCTCCCTGGTTTAGTTGTGGTGTTTTTCATATTTATTTATTTATTAATTAAAAGATGCGTTTCTTTACCTTCCCCAGACTGACCTTGAGCTCCTGGACTTGAGGAATCCTCCTGCCTCAGCCTCCCAAATAGCTGGGACTACAGTGTGTGCATTCTACTACACCCAAGAAAGTTCCCTCTGTTGTAATCCTTAACCCCAAATAACTTGATGTCAACCAATCAGTTGTTTTTCTATTCTCTCTGTCCCTGCTTTACAAGGAAAGTGACTTTGAAATAACCAGTTCTTTGTTTCTGCTTCAGTCCTTCTCTGCCTGTAAAGCCAACCTCTTCTGCTCAGGTCACTGGAACATTTAAATTGTATTTTATGGAACGAATAGTAAGTGTTGCCTGATTCTAGAATTGCAATAAAGCCAGTCGAGGTCTTTAAAGGAAATCTGCCGTAACTCTGTCCTTTGACAATTCAAAACAGTTCTGGAAAAGAGTAAAATGATATGTTGTTTTAATGATGTATTTTTCTCCCAACTAAAAATAAATAAATAAATAAATGTGAGAACTAAATCTGATCTTTTTTTTCTCTTGCCAAAATTCCTATCTATGTAAGGGGCCTGGGGAGTCATGCCCTGAAAGCCATAAAGTCTCATTAAAGGGTTTTTTTTTTTTTTTTTTGAGACAGGGTTTCACCATGTTGGTCAGGCTGGTCTTGAACTCCTGACCTCAGGTGATCCGCCCACCTTGGCCTCCAAAGTGCTTGGATTACAGCTGTGAGCCACCATGCCCGGCCTAAAGGAGTTTTATTTAACACCAGATAACATGGACTGCTTTCCAGCCTGACTGGCATAACATCACAACAGATAGAGGAAAATAAAAATATTTTAATCCCAAACATGTTTCTTTGTTATATCTAGAAACAGCCCGGCAAAGCTGTCTCTTATGGGAGAAAATCTACGTTCTCTAGAGAATCCCCTTCCCCTTCCAGACCTTCCTAATCCAGGAGAAAATCAATGGAAATCTGATGAGAAACACTTGTAGTCTGTTCTCTCTGAAGCCTGCTGCCTGGAGGCTTCGTCTGCATAATGGGAAACTTGGAGTCCACAACCTCTTATCTCAACCCAGACATTCATTCGACTAATGCTCTTTAGACAATACTTTAACTCTCTCAACTAACTGCCAATTTGAAAATGCTTGAATCGGCTCTGTGGTGGTTCAAGCTTGGAATCCCAGAACTTTGGGAGGCTGGAGCAACCATGCCCAAGAGTTTGAGACCCACCTGGCCAACATGGTGAAACCCTGTGGCTACTAAAAAATTATGAAAATTAGCTGGGCATGGTGGCATATGCCTGTAATCCCAGCTACTCAGGAGGCTGAGGCAGGAAAATTGAAAAGCACTTGAGCCTGGGAGGTGGAGGCTGCAGTGAGGCTGTCATTGTGCCACTGCACTCCACCCTGGGCGACAGAATGAGACTCTGTCTCAAAAAAAAAGGGAAGAGAAAGAGACAAAGAAAAGAAAATCCTTGAATCCATTTATTACTATTTAGAATTCCTAAATAGAAATTATTTACCTATACACGGATGTTTTCTTTATATATCTCATTTATTTTCTTGGGGAATTTTATAAATTTTTGATTTTTTACAACTACAATTCATTGTAAAAAACGATATTAGTTATTAAGAAAAAAAATGGCCAGGTGAGGTGGCTCAAGCCTGTAATCCCAGCACTTTGGGAAACCAAGGCGGTTGGATAACCTGAGGTTAGGAATTTGATACCAGCCTGGCCAACATGGCAAAACGCTGTCACTACTAAAAATACAAAAATTAGCTGGGCATGGTGGCACGTGCCTATAATCCCAGCTACTCAGGAGACTGAGGCAGAAGAATCACTTGAAGCTGGGAGGCAGAGGTTGCAGTGAGCTGAGATTATGCCATTGCACTACAGCCTGGGCAACAAGAGCGGGACACTGTCTCAAAAAAAAAAAATTTGAATTAAGTAAGGTCTGACAAATGAATATTGAAAAGCAAGAATGTCCACATTGGCTATGCACAGTGCCTTATTCCTGTCATCCAGCACTTTGGAAGACTGAGGCAGGTGGATTGCTTGAGCTCTGGCATTTGTGATCAGTCTGGAAAACGTGATGAAACCCTGTCTCTAAAAAAACACAAAAATTAGCTGGGCATGGTGGTGCACACCTGTAGTCCCAGCTACTCAGAAGGGTGAGGTGGGAGGATTGCTTGAAACCAGGAGGTGGAGGCTGCAGTGAGCTAAGATCACACCACTGCACTCCAGCCTGAGTGACAGGGTGAGACCTTGTCACAAAAGAAAAAAAAAAAATCCATACTTTTTGTTCAGACAACTGCAACTAGTTACATACCCACCTATTAATTACTTGCAATTATATTTATAGTATTGTAGATTAAATTGTCACTGGCAATCTCAGAGGTAGTAAGATAGTCTTAATAAGGATAAGTATATAATTAAATGAGAGCTCTTAAAGAGTCCTGGTAACATTTTAATTGGTTTAACCTTCTGCCTAGGAGCTGGCAATTGGTATTCATTAAAAGCTATAAAAACATAATATTGTTGGACATAGAAATAGCCCCAAAAAGGTTATGAATGATGTTAATTGAATTCTTTTTGTTTTCCATTTTTTGGGTAGCAGCTTTATTATTATATAACTCAAACACTATAGAAGTAATCCATTTAAAGTATACAATTCAATGGTTTTTAGTACAGGTTGCATGTCCCTAATACAAAAATATGAAATGCTTCAAAATCCAAAACTTTTTGAGTGCCAACGTGACACTCAAAGGAAATGCTCATTTTGGATTTTCATACTAGGGATGATCAATTAGTAAGTATATAAGTAATGAAAACATTTCCAAATCTGAAAAAATCTAAAATTCAAAATATTTGTAGTCTCAAATATTTTAGATAACACTCAACCTGAATATTTAGTGTTGTGCAACCATCAACAGAATCAATCTCAGAACATTTTTCTCATCTCAAAAATAAGCCTTCAAAAAATTAGTTGGGCATGGTGGCAGGCTCCTGTGGTTCCAGCTATGCAAGAGGCTGAGGAAGGAGGATTGCTTGATCCTGGAGGTCAAGGCTACAGTGAGCCATCTTCATGCCATTGCACTCCAGCCTGCAGCCTGGGTGACAGAGCAAGACCCTCTCTCCAGGAAAAAAAAGGAAAAGGAAAAGAAAAAAAGAAACTCCAATATCATTTAACTATCATTCCCTAATCCCATGCCTGCCCCTACCCCTAAGCAACCACTTACTTTCTGTCTCTATATATTTGCTTATTCTGGACATTCATATAAATGGAATTATAAAATATGTGGTATTTTGTGACTGGCTTCTTTCATTTAGCATAATGCCTTCAAAGGTTATGTATTTATAGCACATATTAGTACTTCCTTTTTATGGCCTAGTAAGATTCCATTGCATAGGGTGGGCGTGGTAGCTCATGTCTGTAATCCTAGCACTTTGGAGAGGCTGAGGAGGGAGGATTGCTAGAGACCAGGAGTTTGAGACCAGCCTGGACAACATAGTAAGTCTCACAGCACTCCAAATTGGGCCACAGAGCCAGACCCCGTCTTTAAAAGAAAAAAAAATTTCACTGTATATAGATTTATCACATTTGATTTGTGCATTCACCAGCTGATGAACATTTAGGTTATTTCATCTTTGGCTACTATGAATAATACATTTGTAAAGAAGCTTTTGCATGGACAAATATTTTCATTTCTCTTGGATATATATCTAGGATGGAATTTGCATTACTCTTATTGGAGTGAAAATCACAAGCAATTTCATAATGAAATTATGCTACACTCTCAATGGTGTTATGCAGAAATGCTACACTCTCAAGAGTAACATGCAGAAAAATGGTGACTTTGTTGAATGAAGACCATATAATAGGCTACATGAAGTGAAAACAAGAAAAAAAAAGGATACAACCCACTTGAAATCCTCCTGGGGCTTCCAATGGGACTTTCCATTCCCTCTTCTGTTCTATGGCATCTGTCCTCTGCTTTCACATCCTGCCTCAGTTGTCTGAGGGCCAGACATACTAGCTTTCAGAGATTTTTAGAATGTCTCAGCTTCGGAGCCTTTTCACATTGCTTCCTCCGCCTATATCATTCTTTGCCCAGTGGTTTCAAGTCTCATCTTAAATGTCACTTCTTCAGAAAAACGTTCTCTGATACCAGGCAAAAGGCAAGTGTTTCCAGAGCAGCCGGCGATTTTCCATCTTAATGGTTTTGATGCTAGAATCGTTTACTTGGTCAAATATTGAGAGCCTTTTATATGCAGGGATACAGGGTGAAACAAAACATGCAAGACCCCTGCCATCTGCAACCTTATATTCTAGGGAGAGGGATACATGTACAAGTGAATAATAAATGTACTTGGTAACTTTAGATAGTGATAATTAGCTCAATGGTTATCCTCTGTTTGGACTGCAAACTCCATGAAGACAGGAGCTATGTCTGCCTTGGCTACTTCCAGTTTGCTAAAAGTCTGGCCACTAAATAAGCTCAATACATATTTTTTCACTGACAGTTAAAATAGGTATATAAAAGAAATGGGGAAAAAACGGGACTTCTATAAATGGTTGAGATCTAGCCCTTCTATTCTTTTATATTTTAATTATTTAAAAATATGTAATACCACATATTTTTAGATAATTAACAATTAAAATAGCAAAAAGTTACCACTTGTACTAATAGAACCCCAAATAAAATCCATTTACGTCACCACACACTCATTAAGCACCTGTTAATAAAACCTATTCTGAAATACTCTGACATGTTGGTTAAGTGGATAAAATACCCTCGGCGAGGCTGGGCGTGCCGTGGCTCATGCCTGCAATCCCAGCACTTCGAGAGACTGAGGTGGGTGGATCACGAGGTCAGGAATTCAAGAGCAGCCTGGCCAAGATGGTTGAAACCTCGTCTATACTAAAAATACAAAAATTAGCCGGGAATGGGGGCAGACGCCGGTAATCCCAGCTACTTGGGAGGCTGAGGCCGAGAACTGCTTGAACCTGGGAGTAGAAGGTCGCAGAGATCCGAGATCGCGCCACCCCACTCCAGCCTGAACAACAGTCTCAAGGGGGAAAAAAAAAATCCCTTTGGCGCATTGCCAAGCAGGTTCCTCGCCGTCAGCAGCATAATTTATGGTTTTCGCTGAGGCTTAAGTATCCGTGATGTGAGATTCTCCCTAATTTCCCGATTTCTAAAACCCTTCAGAATCTCCCTCCACCCACACGATGTGGCAGCGAGAAAAACCGTATTCTGTTTACACGTCAACGGTAAGAAGAGAACACATATTTTGCTAGGTCAACAAATCATGCAAGATCTCCACCCGAGAGATCAGTAGCCCCTTCCCAGTGAACCCTTCTAAGAGCCTGGAGATGAGTAGTAGGGCTGGACAGAACCAAGCAAGGCTGGACCAGAGGAGCCGACCGTGAGAACCCTTCCCCCAAGCGCAGCGCTCGGCCGGTTCTTTCTTCCCCGGGCGCCTGCGCAGCGCACTCTCCGGCCACCGCACGCCTCCTCAGCAGAGCCTGGAGACGTTGACGTCACCGCGCAGACTGCAAGCAACCCTTCGTTCCTTCAAGGAAAATGAGTCCACGCACCTTCGGCTTTTCTTAGCCCCCAGAAAATGTCCTCCCTCCTTCCATCCCAGTGCCAACGACTTCCCCAGCCCGTCTCCTTTTGGCGGGACTTCTCCGTACTTTCGTTGGACCCCGAAGGCGGCGGAGAGGAAGAGAAAGGGTGAAAGACCAATTCGCGTTGTTTACAAGGAGTAGGCGAGTCTAGGAATCGATCCGCGAGGGCGGAGCCGAGGAAGCCGGCACTTTTTCCTCCCTTCCCCTCCCTCCCCAGCCTTCCCCGCGAGCGGACGCGGCAGCGCCTCTGCCTCGCTTTTTCTTATTTTTTTCCCCCCTTTCCCCTTTCTTTTTTTTTTTTCCCCCTCCCCCCCTTTCACCATTTCCCCTCGGAGGCGTTTTCCCCGGGCAGGGGCAGAGCCGGTCTCACCCCCCGCCTCTCCCCGGCCCCCGCCGCCCTATGGCGAAAGGGAGCCCCCTCCCCACTCGGGCTCGAGCGGCCGCGGCCTTAGGCCGGGGGTCATCATGGAATTAATTCGCTGACGAATCCAGAGGCCGCAGCCGTGCGTCCCGCTCGAGCGCTAGCGCCCGCGTCCCCCGGCCCGCTTCTGCCTCTTCTCCCTCCTCAGTCGGCCCCGTCGTCCCGCGCGCACCGCCGCCGCGCGTCGAGGAGAATGAAGTGGTAACGGGCTGCCGGATGACCCCTCGTCACCATCGTGAGGCCTACAGCTCTGACGTGGAGGAGGAGGAGGAGGAAGAAGAGGAGAAGGTGAGGGGTGGGGGGCGGGGGCGGGGGGCTTGACGCGTCTCCGCGGCCGGCGCCGACGCGCTGGGGCCCCGCCGCTCCCCCAGCGCCACCCGAGTGGCAGCACTCGTAGCTGCGCTCTGCTTGCTGGTGACCCGCCCTCCCGCATCTCCCCAGTCGGGGGAACCTCGGGGCCACCCTCTTCGTCCTCCCGCCCCAAACCAACCCGGTACCTGCCCAGTTGAAAACGGCCTTACTGTGTTCCCTTTAAGGCCAGTTTTTGTGTTAGCGAGTAACTTTTTTTTGTGGCAGCAGCAAATTACCTACTCTATAGTGCGTGTTGGAGGCTCGGCGAGTCTGTGTTTATACACAAAGAAGGGGACACACCCCCACCTTAGGATGAACGGTCCTGCGGGAACTCCGGGAAGATGCCTAAGTTTGCAAATAGGAGTAAATGCCAAGTGAATGGGGTGAACTTCTGGTGTGGGAAATTCGGGGGAGGGCAACATTACCCAGGGCTTGGGGCGGTTGGGTGGGGGATTCCGGAGGAGGTGAGATTTGAGTTGTACCCAAAAAGCCAGATTAAATACCGGAATTTGAAGGAGAGCAAATGGGCCTCTGATGGAGCTGGGGGTTCCGTTGCAGATCGTTTTGGCAGAAGTTGAGAATTCGGTAGCACAACAGTGGGAGGTGTTTCGGGAGGTAGAATGGATTCGGACTCTGAACTAAAATATTTAGGTTTTATTCTGTCAGTGGGGAGCCACTCTGTTTTGAGCAGCAGATCATTACAATAATGATGTTAAATAACAACACTTGAGGCTTATCTGCCAGGCATTCTCGTAAGTGGCTTGCAATTCATTTAATCCTCCCAACGCTGGTAGTAGGAGCCTCATCTTACAGATGAGGAAAACTGAGACCTACAAGATTAACTTTCTCCTTAGGCAACACGGCTAAAACCCGGTAGCCAGAATTAAGTCTGACTCTACGCTGTGTGGTCTCTGACCTGAAAATGGGTTTGTTGAAATAACTGCTTCTAGCTTTTCCAGGTCGTTTGTGGCACATGAAATAGAAAGGATTGGTCAAACAGATTAAGAAATAATGGACGGAAAAGATTTAGATTGGTTAATTTGGGACCAGAGAATCTCAAAGAGATTCTGAGCCTCTGGACTAGAAATTTCTTAATACTGATGAAGTATCAAGAAATACACAATCAGCATGTGTTAGGGAAGTTCAGTAAAGTTGATCTGCAGTTACAAATAGTGAGTTTATGTGGTAATGTGACATCCTGGTAGGTTAGAATGGGTCTTACAATATGTCTTGCTCAAGATTGGAAGTGAGAGTCTTTGTTTTGTTTTGATTGTGTAACATTAAAAATGAATATTCATCTTCCTGTGTATGTGTCTTTGTCTTTAAAATGGGCTTTATGGCTGAAATGGGGGTGTAGTGAAAAAATAAAAAACTAGAAAAAAAGGGACTTACTATTACCAATTTCATGAAGTTGTGGGAAGATTACATGAGTTAATATGGCATAGCACTTTGAACAATAGGTGGCCAAGTAGTAAGCACTGCGTGCTTTACTTTTTAAGCTTTTTACAAGTGAAGCTGTTATTTATTAGGCATAATGCTAAATTCTGGAGATGGACATGAAAGAATTCATTATAATAGGAAAGGCAAGTCTTCCAATAATCACGGAGCAATTAAATGTAACAGTAGAATTATGTCCAAGTACAGATGAAGGAAGGCAGGGCACAACTGCACAAATTTAGAGTCTTACAGACTGATGTAAACTTTAGGAAGGGAGATATGAGCTAGAGGACATTTAAAGTTGAAAGAACAGTTTTTGTACATCCTTGGAGATCAGGAAAGAGCATACACTTGGAATTGCAAGTACCTTTATTGTTTCTAATGCATAAAAAAGTCAAGGAGTGAATGGTAGAACTTCAGGTGTCTTGTATGGTCACATTAATCCCTCCTTTCAGAATGGGAACTAAGATTCAGAACTCAGCACCAGTACAGGATTATTAATGGAATTGGTATGATGATGATAGTAAATACGGTAATACCTATTAGTGAAGTTGTTTATATTGTATACCCAGCACTGTGCAGCACTTTTCCTTAGAGCAGCAGGGGGCCGTGTATATATATCTGAAGTAGTTACGCTGTACAATAAGCATTACCTATTACCTCAGACATTTGATAAGCGTGGAGAAAGGAGAAGCAGCAGCAGTTGAGAAAATGGGAGGAGAAATGTGAAACTGGTTTAAACTTGTGTGTGTGTAAAAAAATGCCAACCAAAATAGTTTTATGTTATTTCCTGCTTTTCTAAAAAGCATGCAAAATTGGATGTGACCAACAATTAGGGTTACAGTAACAAGATAGAACTATATAGTTGTTTTTTAAAACAGTAAATTTGTATTTTAAATGTTCGCATTTTATTTCTTAGCAGAATTTATTAATCTAACTCAAAATGTGTTTTACACATTAGAAAATAGGCTTTTGTTTTGTCAGTACAAGAAAACCGAAGCCCATGATTTATGTATCATAGTATGTCTTACTAGTCTTGTCTTTTGTTCTCTTTATGTAGAGCATACATATGACCCTTACTGCCAAATATTTCACAAGAATAGTAATATTCTCTTATAGAATCACAGCGAATTTTTCGTTTTTGGTAAATTTAGCATTTGATACATTGCCTTGTGTAATCTGTCCCAGTTATGTCATTTGACCCACTAATGACCTTTACACCATTTGTCTCCTTCCAATACAGCATCCAGTTGAGGATCAGGTATTGCAGCAGCTTTTCTATATTTGTGTTTATTTTCTTGAGACAGTCTCCCTTTGTCATCCAGGCTATACTTCAGTGGCATGATCTCGGCTCACTGCAACCTCCACCTCCTGGGTTCAAGCAATTCTGCCTCAGCCTGCTGAGTGGCTGGGACCACAGGCATGCACTGTTATGCCTGGCTCATTTTTGTATTTTTATTGAAGACAGGGCCTTACCCTGTTTGCCAGGCTGGTCTCAAACTCCTGGCCTCAAGTAATCCGCCTCCCTTGGCCTCCCAAAGTGCTGGCATTACAGGCATGAGCCACCCCGTGTAGCCAATTCTTCTATGGCCTCATTGAATCTGCAGCATCCCCAAAGGTATCCCCCATTGTTTTTGCCTTGCAATTATTTGTATCCCATTTTAGTTTTAGTTTTTTCTTTCTTTTTTTTTTTTTTTTCTTTCTTAAGAGATTGAGTCTCACTTTGTTGCCCAGGCTGGAGTGAGGTGGTGTAATCATAGCTGACTGCAGCCTTAAGCTCCTCAGTTTACATAGTCCTCTCACCTGAACCTCCTGAGCAGCTGAGTCAACAAGCAGGTGTGCAACATCATGCTGGGCTAATTTAAAAATTTTTTTGGTAGAGACGGGTTTCACTCTGTTATCCAGGCTGGTTTCAGACTCCTGTCCTTGAGTGCTCCTCTCACTTCTGCCTCATGAAGTTCTGGGATCACAGGCAAGCACTCACCATGCCCCACCTTTTGCCCCATTTTTTAAAGTTTAAGGAAATTTTAACTCGCCTTTTTTTTTGGTTAGCTTTCTGTAGAGTGAGCAAAGAGTGATTCCTTTTTTTTTCCCTATTGATAATGTTGTATTGCATTGATTTCTGAATCTTGAAACAAGCTTGCATTCCTGGAACAAATCCCAGTTGGTTGTGATATATAATCCTTTGTTTATATTGCTGGATTCAGTTTGCTAGTATTTTGTTGAGAAATTTTGCATTTCAGAAGAAACACTAATCTATAGTTTTCTAGTGATGTCTGTCTGGTCTTGGTAGCAGGGTAATAACTAACTTCAAAGAATAAATTGGGAAGCATTTGTAAAGAATTGCTGTCAGTTTTTTTGAAAATGGTTGGTAGAATTAACCAGTGAAGCCATCTGGGCATGGATTTTTCTTTGACAGTGCTTTAAAATATTACTATTTAAATCTTTTCTTAAACAACTACTCAGCTTTTTTATTTCTTTTCTTGTTTTCTTTTGGAATCATCTCACCAGTACAGCTTTTTACTTCTTAAGTTTCGGGATTTTTTATTTCTGGAAACTGGACTAATTCATCTAAATTTTCCTATTTAGTTGCATATAGTTGTACATAAACGTTTTTTATAATTTTTATTTGTTGTTTTTTTAATATTTTATTTCTGTAAGCTAGGTAATAATGTTCTGTTTTTATTTCTGATTTTAGTAATTTGTCCTCTGTTTTCTTGGTCAGTCTAGCTGGCTAAAGGTTTATCTATATTGATCTTTTCAAAGAATCAGCTTCTGGTTTCATTGACTTTTCACTGCAGTTTTTGTACTCTCTACTTCATTAGTTTCCATTCTAATATTTAGTATTTCCTTGCTTCTGTCTTGCTTTTGGGACAATTTATTCTTCTTTTTCCATTATCTTAAAGGTGGAAGATTAGGCTGTTTATTTGAGATACCCTTTTTTAGTAGAAGCATTTTCAGGAATTATTTCTAAGCACTGCTTCGATTGTATCTGATAAGTTTTGGTATGTTGTCTTCATTTTCTCTCATCTCAAAGTATTTTCTGATTTCCCTTGTGACTCTTCTTTGACCAGATACCTTTGTTTTAAAAAAACTTGTTACAATTTAAATATTTGAAAGTCATACCACTTCACAGTGGTACCTAGGAAAGAGTATGATAGTAGCTGGAGGTGGGATAGAATGGAAATTAAAGAACTGGTTTGCTATTTTTTGCTTTTTCAAATTTTTAAATTTAAAAAAATTGGAATTTTCATGTTAATCTGGATATTTAAAAAAATTCTTAGAGGCTATGAATCTGAAGTATGTAATACAGATACATAGTTGAGAAAGTCAAATCATTAGTGAAATTTATAATGAAAAACAGCATTCTCCTACTCAAGGCCTTCCTCACCTTTCTACTCCGCAGAGATTAGCCACTCCCAACCCTCTCCTGCTTTTCTTGTTATTTAGGATCACATTTTGAAATAACTTGCCCTACTGCTGTTTTTTGACATTTCAGTTTGAGATACACGGATTTACTATGAAATGAAAGATGTGGCTTTTATTTTACCCTTTTCCAATATCCATAGTTATGTCTCCACATCCTCCCAATGTAGTTACATTGAGATACCTATTCAGTGTTTTCATTAGTATTGTTGTATAAATATTGTGATATATTATTTACTTTCTTAAAATCTTTTATTTGAAGTTAATTACCTTTTTGCTTAGTTTTCAACAAATCTAGCTAAGCCTTTTCACATTCTTTAGCAATTTCTTTTTTTTTTTTTTTGAGACAGGGTTTCACCGTGTTGGCCAGGATGGTCTCGATCTCTTGACCTTGTGATCCATCCACCTTGGCCTCCCAAAGTGCTGGGATGATAGGCATGAGCCACCACACCTGGCTCTTTAACAATTTCTTGATCCAATTTTCTACACACAGTCTAACCTCAAGTCTGTAGTTTGCTTTTTTTTTTAAACCTAGAAACCAGCATGGTGGCTCACACCTGTCACCCTAGTGCTTTGGGAGGCCACAGCAGGATTGCTTGAGGCTGGGAGGTCAAGACTAACCTGCGCAACAAAGCAAAACTGCATCTCTACCCAAAAAAAAAGCTTAAAAAAAATTACCTGGACTTGGTGGTGTGCATCTGTAGTTCCAGCTATTTGGGAGGCTGAGGCAGGTGGATCACATGAACCCAGGAGTTTGAGGCTGCAGTTAGCCACTTCACTGCACTCCTAACCTTGGCAACAGAGTAAGTCTCTCTCCCAAGTACATACATGCATAAAATCCAGAGACATTTCTCTTGGACTCTGTTGTTCTGCACTGCTAAACTTGCTATTTAGACATGCTGATTTTAGAGTGCTAGTCATTGTACTATGGTCATATGAGTCATATGAACATTGTACTGTTCTAGGTTAGAACAGTACAGTAGAACTTTCTGCATTAATAGGAACGTTCCTTTTCTGCACTGTCCAATATAGTATCCATTAGCCACATGTTGTTATTGAAGTAGGACTATTATGACTGAAGAAATGATTTTTAAATTTTATTTAGCTCATATTTAAATATCCACATGTGTAGTTAGTGGATACTGAATTGGATTTTAAGATGATTTCATGCTGGAGGGGATTGTTTCATCCTGAAGAAGTGGGAATGGGTAGGATTTAATGTAATTGATATAGTCTCTTTTTAATGAAGAAAAAAAGTTAGTGGCCCTTATCTGATCAGGTTTTTAAGAGGAATGTTTGGAGTAACTACTTTTTTTTTTTTCTTTTTTTTGTTTGAGACAAGAGTCTTGCTATGTTGCCAGGCTGGAGTGCAGTGGCGCAATCTCGGCTCACTGCAACCTCCGCCTCCTGGGTTCAAGCGATTCTTCCACCTCAGCCTCCCGAGTAGCTGGGACCACAGGCGTGTGCCACCACACCGGATAATTTGTTTTGTAATTTTAGTAGAGACGGGGTTTCCTGGTGTTGGCCAGAATGGTCTTGATCTCTTGACCTTATGATCCACCCGCCTTGGCCTCCCAAAGTGCTGGGATTACAGGTGTGAGCCACCTGGCCCTGGAGTAACTGCTTCTAAGAATTTCTGGTAAAAAAGCCAGTAACAAAGCTTTGACGGTTTGAAACAGTAGTAACATGTTTTGATCAGAGTCCAAAGGTTCTATCGATTACATGGTCTTGTTTTTATTCTCTATAACTGAATTTCAGATTTAAAGTGTGAATGTTTTCGATAACTGATTATTTTGGTATTTTAATATGATTTTTAAAGAGCTATAAAATCCTATACTGCCTCATAACATTCTTCTTTTATGAGTTGCTTAATAAGTACTTTATATAATGCTACATTTACTTTATAACTAGTTTAAAACATTTGTATTTGATTTTGTAGGTAGCTACATCAAGCTGGGTAACAGGCAGATCCAAAGGATATCATGAAGTTTCCAGGGCCTTTGGAAAACCAGAGATTGTCTTTCCTGTTGGAAAAGGCAATCTCTAGGGAAGCACAGATGTGGAAGGTGAATGTGCGGAAAATACCTTCAAATCAGGTAATGATTTTTCTCTTAAGAGAGATGAGTTTTATTAGAAATAAGCATACTACTGCCATATATAATAATACCTTCACACTGCATTGGAGGCATGTGTACCATTTTAAAATGTGCTGTATTTGAGAGAGATCTCCCTGTTTCGTTTTTTTTTTTTTTTTTTTTTTTAATGCTATAAGGTCTCACTCTGTCATCCATGTTGGAGTGCAATGGCATGATCTCACCTCACTGCAGCCTCCGCCCACCTCCTGGGCTTAAGCAATCCTCTCACCTAAGCCTCCCAAGTAGCTGGGAATGCAGGCACATGCTACCACGCTTGGCTAATTTTTTGTATTTTTGATAGAGATGGGGTTTCACCATGTTGTCCAGCCTGGTCTGGAAGTCCTGAGCTCAAGCAATCCACCAGCCTTGGCCTCCTAAAGTACTGGGATTATAGGCGTGAGCCACCACTTCTGGCCTGTTGTTTTTTAAAAAATCCTGCTTCTACTGTAGCCTTTTCTTTCTGAAACAGGAGTTAACTGTTCTTGTGTTTGTTGACCTGTTTTGTTATCTGAGTTACAGCTTTAGGAAGATCAGTTTGTTCTATTTCCTCATAATATATACTAACATGGTAAGCCTTCTTTAGATGTATAGTTTATAATTAGCACAGAGGCTGAACACCTTCATACTGTTGTCTTTAGTCAACAAAAAACCTACTCTTTGGTCAATAGCGGTAGCGAGTTCAAGTGAACTATTAAGGTAATACCAATGTTGGAAGCTTTTGAGAAAATAACCAGCTGGCTTCTTAACTACTGTTGGCTATGTAGTTTTTCTTTTAGAAATTTTATGTCATATATAGTTATTTTTCACTGTGAAGTTTATTCATTCAGATAAAAAGATATCTTACACATCTTTTTATTTTTAGTATCTAACATGGTGCTTGGAAAATAGAATAGTGGATGTTCTTTAATATGCATGAGTGAATGAATGGCAAATATGTAAGTTCCTCCTGTGTTGTTTTAGGTTATCCTTTGCTCATTGGTTTTTAAAGTGTATATGTCTTTTTAAATTTAATTCTGATTTTTCCTATTCTTTCCCACAAGCTAAAGAAATTTATTGTTACTTGTCATTACGCAAACTGATTAGTTAACCTGACTAATCAGTTAACCTGACTAATTAGTTAACCTGAGGAGTGTTTATATGTATGGTATCTCATGTAATCCTTTGAAAAAGTAGGCAGTAGTCCCAGTTTGCTCAAGACTTTAGCTAATAAGTAATAGAATTATAATTTGGGCTGGGCATGGTGGTTTACGCCTGTAATCCCAGCACTTTGGGAGCCTGAGGTAGGCAGATCACCTGAGGTCAGGCATTCAAGACCAGCCATGATAAACATGGCAAAATCCCGTCTCTACTAAAAACATAACAATTAGCTGGTGTGGTGGCTCATGCCTGTGATCCCAGCTACTTGGAAGGCTGAGGCATGAGAATTGCTTGAACCCAGGAGACGGAGGTTATAATTTGAACCTTTTCCTAAGGCAGTTCTCTTTTTTTTGGTTGTTGTCTGATATTTTTGTGTGAGTGTGTGATTTTTAGATTAGTTAGGAATTCAGATCATTTAGCAAATGTCTGTTGAGTATCTGCTATATTCTAGGCACTATTCTAAGCATTGGAGATACAACAGGAGAAAATAAATTCCTGCCCTTATGTTGTCACATTCTACTGAGCCTCAAAGCTTTTTTTATAGCTGCTTGTAGGACCATTCTTTTCCTCCTCCTGCTATCTCTTTGAGTCAGCATGTAACCAACAATAATATATTTTTACAACATGGTCTTTGAAGGTGATAGTCTACCTAGATTGTAGTATATTGCTATATTACCACATAAGCTGACCTATTTCTCTTTTCTTTCTTTTTTGTTTTTTTTTTTTTTTTTTAGAAGGAGTTTTTCTCCTGTTGCCCAGGCTGGAGTGCAATGGCACAATCTTGGCTCACTGTAACTTGGGGTGGCCTAGGTATCTGGTGGGGATAGGAGAAAAGATAGGAATGGGGTAAGGGCTATACGGGCTTCAGTTCTGGGGTAAATACAGAATAAGGTAAAGGGCTGTAGAGGCTTGACTTGTTTGCCAGAGTAACCCCGAGGGACATTTCTCTATTCTAGTTCTAATTCTTTTATTTTCTTCTAGGGACTGGCATTTTTTTTTCAACCTCCCTTTCTACTGTTGCTGTAACTTTTCTAATTTTATTTGAAGTGTTGGTGAAAATAGAAAAATAAAATATTTTTAAGCTTTCTTCTATGCCTTTTCCTCCAGTTTTCTTCTGACTTCCCCTGCCTCAACTAAACTGTATTTTGAAGTCAGTCTCTTGTTTAATTTGCATCCCCTATCCCCCCAATTTAGGACAGCATGGTCATGAAAGAATATTATACACCCGTCACCATCTATGTGTTTCTCCCACACTCTGCTTCCCTTATGATAGCACAAAGTATTATAATTTTCTGATGATTTGACTGTGAGTTTCCTTGAGGGGTATGGTTGTGTCATTTTTGTTTACTTGCATGTAATAGACTCACAGTAAACATTTAAGTGAATGGTGATTATCATTTCTTTATGATTCATTCAGGTACCTTACTGTGTTCTTGGCACTTGCAGAAAATTTCTAGTATTTTCAAGTTCATGATAATTTTGTTAGATGAATTTGGGGGAAAAATGGAAACTGGTCAAAGTGGCACATACTTTCAGGTGTTCTCAATTTATTTTGCCAAAGTGCTTTTGATTTACAAAGATAAAATGCTGCCACAAATTGTTTATATACAGATGATTTTCAATAGAATTTTATAACTCTAAGGAATCTTAAAACAGCTTTTCTAGTCATTCTCAACTGGAGTTTAGGTTTCCTGCTTCCTAGTTTATTAAAGCCAAAACCAGAAATTTAATTTTTTTTTTCTGAAACAGGGTCTCGCTCTGTCATCCAGGTTGGGGTGCAGTGGCTCAATCACAGTTCACTGCAGCCTCTCTTTCCCAGGCTCAAGTGATTGTCCCACCTCAGCCTCCCAAGCAGCTGATATCACAGGCATGCACCACCACACCTGGCTAATTTTTTTTTATTTGCGGAGATGAAGTCTCACTGTGTTACCTAGGCTGGTTTCAAACTCCTGGGCTCAAGCAATTTTCCCACCTTGGCCTCCTAAAGTACTGGGATTACAGGTGTGAGCCATGTCCAGAAATTTAATTTTTAAAAAAATGTTGAACATAACAGTAACAGGTGCAATGAGATGCTGTGGGGCATAGGAAGGTACTTAGCCCAATTTGAATTATCAGGAAAAGTATCTGGTGGGGAGTAACGTCAAAATAGCTGTCAAGATCTTGATACATAATAAGGCAGGTGAGATAGAGAAGGGGGTGTGTTCCAGTCAGAAGGAACAATATGAACAAAGGAGCAGTGATGTAAAATAGCATAGCAGGGGCAAAGAAGAATCATAAATAGAAGTTACTATTCTTACAGCATGAAGTTTAAGACAAAGTATTGGAAGATATCTGAGGTTAGACAGGGAAGTCATAGATTTGTATGCCATGCTAGGGAATTGTAATTAATCTTTTAGGTAATAGTGAACCTTTTAGAATTTAAAGGTGAGGATGGTGTGTATTATAAGGAAGAGACTAGCAGCATATGGCATATAATATATATGCAAAATATATATTAATAGCAGTCTGTATTTTACCATGTTGAATCAATCCATTATAAATTCTCTTTAGGATTCTTTGTTCAACTACTGAATCCTTCTAATCCTATTTGAGCTGTCCATATGAGAAAAAAAGACAGTTCATCTGATGAAATCAGGAAATACTGTTTTGGGCGTTCTCTCTTTCTCTCTCATTCTTTATTTTAGAGGAATAGGAATGAAATGAAATTACTTAGGCACAGAACTTTTTGTAATGCTGTCATGATATTATTACTATTTAGTACGTTTGAATTGATTTGAAAAAGTGACATTAGACTCAGTATTACTTTAGTTAAATTGAGTCTTCTTAAACTCTCTTTTGGGTTTAAAAAAAAATTGTTACTAGTTTTGGCTAATGATGATAACATTGGCCATGCAGGAATGCTTTTCTTGGCCCTATTGTTAAATTTTAATATATGGTATATGGGCCAAACACAGTGGCTCACACCTGTAATCCCAACACTTTGGGATGCCAAGGAGGGAGGATTGCTTGAGCCTGGGAGTTCAAGACTAGCCTGGGTAACATAGTGAGACCTCATCTCTACAAAAAATAAAATTAGGCCGGGCACATGGCTCACAACTGTAATCCACTTTGGGAGGCTGAGGTGGGTGGATCACTTGAGGTCAGGAGTTTGGACCAGCCTGGCCAACATGGTGAAACCCCCTCTCTACTAAAAATAAAGAATTAACCAGGCATGGCATAATCCTGTAATTCCAGCTACTTGGGAGCAACAGAGAGAGTTGCTTGAACCCAGGAGGTGGAGGTTGCAGTGAGCTGAGATGGAGCCACTGCACTCCAGCCTGGGTGACAGAGCAAGACTCTGTCTCAAAAAAAGTTACTGAGCATGGTGGCATGTTCCTCTGGTCCTAGCTACTTGGGGCACTGAGGTGGGAGGATCACTTGGGCCTGGGAGGTTGAGGCTGCAGTGTACCATGATTGTGCCATTGTATTCCAGCCTGGGTGACAGAGCAAGATCCTGTCTCAAAAAGTGTTTGTGTGTGTGTGTGTGTGTGTGTGTGTGTGTGTGTATTAAAGTTCACAGATACTGTCATGATCTCTTTCATGACTTATTGTTACAGTGTTTAAAATAATTATTCATACATAACATTTTGCAGATTTTTCTGACATTAGAGAATGGGTAGTTTAGAGGTGGGAAAGGAGAACTAATATTTGAGTGCCATTTGCATTCTATATATGTGCTTTACGTAAGTTACGTCATTTAGTTATAACTATATGATTATCTCCATATAACTGTATTCTCTTTTTTTTGTATGTTTTGTGATTCTTCTTATATGTTTCTGTTGGTGTTTAATGCCAAACTCCAAATAATGACATTATTTAATGTAATCTGTCATTCAGGGATTTTTTTTCTCCCTTACCCCACATTGTATCTCTACCTGAAGGTTGGAGTTAATGGTGTTCTTATTTTCTTCATAGCTACTATAAACCATTGTTCCTTTTATCTCCTTAAAAGCCTTGCCAGTTTCATCAGATTATAACATCAACTACCTCTCCTGGGAATTTATTTCCTTGTTGTTGATGTGTTTGGCTGGCTTACTTAACATTACTTTTCCTTATTTATTGTGGCATTTTAGCTAAAAGCTCATCTTGATAGGAATTTAATTTCTCTTGAATGCTTAACTGTTCATCCAGAAGTCTTATGACTGCCTTTACTTGGTTCTTAGGGATTTTTATGGACCCTTAGTCCAGAAGTAGATCTTAAAGTAGCCTACATACAAAATTACAACTAGATCCGGGGAATAACTTCTTGTGTTCCATACTGTTGTAGGCTTACTATGATTAACTTAGGAAATATAAATGGACTATGATTACAGAATGATAGCCCATTTAAATAACTGAAATCAATAGTAATAAATGAAAGATACCAGGGACAACAGATGAATTATTAGAGATGATGAAAAAATATTGAACAGGAAATTAACCTGAAGTAGATTACTATTTCGAAAAATTTCCATAAACAACAAAACATTATTGTTGTTTTAATTTTCCTCCATATTATTTGAATATTCTCCTTATAGCTATTTCAAACTGTTTGAAACTACAGTTTGAAATAGCTATAAGGAGAATACTGACTGTTCCCAACATAAGCAACTGGTTTTGTATTTTTAATGGTGACTCCAAAATTTAAGAGTAAAAGTTTTCTAATCACTATTGCTTTAAAGTGTGTCCCTGCTAAAAAGCCTCTACTCAGTAGGCTTACAGCAACAATACACAGTAATGTTTTGTGTTTGTGGAAATCTTTTGAAATAGTAATTTACTTCAGGTTAATTTCCTTTTCAATATTTTTCATCATCTCTAAATGTATAATTCATCTGTTGTCCCTGGTATCTTTCATTTATTATTACTGATTTTAGTTTAGTTTCTTTTTCTTTTTTTTTTTTTTTTGAGACAGAGTTTCACTGTTGTTACCCAGACTGGAGTGCAATGGCACGATCTTGGCTCACTGCAACCTCCGCCTTCTGGGTTCAAGCAATTCTCCTGCCTTCAGCCTCCCGAGTAGCTGGGTCTACAGGTGCGCACAACCATGCCCAGCTAATTTTTGTATTTTTAGTAGAGACGGGGTTTCACCATGTTGACCAGGATGGTCTCGATCTCTTGACTTTGTGATCACCCGCCTCAGCCTCCCAGAGTGCTGGGATTATAGGTGTGAGCCACTGTGCCCGGCCTGATTTTAGTTTTTTAAATGGGCTGTCATTCTTTTATAGTTCATTTATATTTCCTAAGATAAGTTAATGGCTATTTGCTGTGAGAGAAATGCACTGTATTTTCTAAATCTTAAGAGTTGGGAAAAAATTCCAGAATTACTATCAGTTAATAATAATGTTACTTAAACTTTAAAATGTTATATTCTCTGAACACCTAAATTTAATTAAACTATGGATATTTGGTGGATGACATAGTGAAAATTTTAATAAAGAGTAGGAGAATATTGGATATGGATATTAAATGTGGAAACTTTACATGCAGTTTCATATTCATCTATCTTATCTGATAGCTTTTGAATAACCTTAACATTTTAAAACGTATTTTGAAGTATTTCCTAACCTTTTATGAGAGAGAATTCTAAACATACTCTTGATAATAGCTCAAACATTGTCTTCCGTGTTTAAAATTGTTCCCTTCTAGAATGTTTCTCCAGCCCAGAGAGATGAAGTAATTCAATGGCTAGCCAAACTCAAGTACCAATTCAACCTTTACCCAGAAACATTTGCTCTGGCTAGCAGTCTTTTGGACAGGTTTTTAGCTACTGTAAAGGTAAGTGTTTTAAGATAGACATACACATAACCTCATTTTCGTGTATGTATGCTAAACCAGAGGCTATCAGTAAACATTCTGTAAGGTGGAAAGAATTGGAAAACTTTTCTGGAGAATGATGTATGTACCCATAAGATGACATGGTGGTGTCTTCTGCTATTGTTTTTTTTTATTTTTTATTTTTTGAGACAGTTTCACTCTGTTGCCCAGGCTGGAGTGTAGTGGTACAATCTTGGCTCACTGCAACCTCTGCCTCCCAGGTTCAAGTGATTTTTGTGCCTCAGCCTCCCAAGTAGTTGGGACGGCAGGCATGTGCCACCATGCCCAGCTAATTTTTGTATGTTTAGTAGTGACGAGGTTTTGCCATGTTGGCCAGGCTGGTCTCAAACTCCTGACCTCAAGTGATCAGCCCACCTTGGCCTCCCAAAGTGCTGGGATTACAGGCGTGAGCCACCGCACCCAGCCTTCCGCTCTTGTTTAAATAGCAGAAGTGTTTCTGGAAGTGTTTCTAATTGTATTCTGTAATTTTCTTTTTGTTACAAGTATTCATCACTTTTTTAGCCTATGAAAGTTTTTATCTCTTGATTTTAGTACAAACCATATAGCATCAGCAGAATATTTAATCATTTTCTAACATATTGGTGTACTAGAGGTGGACAAGAAAGCAGACTAGAAAAGTATAAGCCTATTACTGCACGTTTTTCTCTGTCACTACTTATTGAATATCCATACTGTTTGGCTTTCTGAAAAACATTAAGTGCTTTCTGTGGGCATACTTTGAAATATAACAAGATGTCATAAAACAACTTGAGTACATTTTTATTGAATGGCAGTATACAAATAATTAGGTTTTATGTTGTCCCCATTGCTATGTCATTGGTTGTGTCGAGTTAGTCATAGTAGGCCCTCAACATATTTAAAGCAGATTAGCATTTGTTTAATGGCAAGGCATGAAAGAGTAGCAGAGTATTTAAACTGTAGGCGTTAGTATGCATAAGAATATGTAAACTGGGGAACTGTCAGTTAAATGCTTTATTAGGTATACAAAATAGAAGCCAAAGAATTATGGAGTGTAAGACTGAATAGCTGCTCAGTTTCAAACTTACACTCTTAAGAGACTTACTAAACATGACAGGACCCAATAAATAAGAAATATGAAAAAAAATGAGATATTTGGCAAAATTCTGTAATTGTTCCAGAAATTTCTCCAACTTTGTTTAAAATGTTTAATAATCAGTAAGAATCTCATGATAGATTCAACAGTATATGTTCACTACAGCAATATATGTTCACTAATAATTTTTGAAAAATATACTGTCCAAGGAAGGACACTAACCTTTAACTCATCTTTCTGTGGAATTATCTGTGAAAGGTAGGTTAGATGTGGTAGAGAGGGTGGGATAAGCAATGTGAACTTGTTGCTGAGATAAAAGTAGGCATTTTTCAGATATTCCAGATTGCAGGCAATTAATTAGCTTAAAAAAATGTTTATATACACACAAAATGTATTTTTTAAATTTTGGGAATATATTTAAAAACTTACAAATCAAGCTTTTTCTGCTGGATAGAAATGACCTTTAGTTAATTGGCTTTTATTGAACTTTGAGCAATGGAATTGATACTATTTTTGTAGAATATTATAGGGCTAGGATTGTAATGTTAAAAGTTAGCTCTGGATGCACTTGATCTTAGTGTACTTTCCTTTCTTTCATTTTACTTCTCTAAAGCTTTTTAATAAACTTTCTTTCCTCTTAAAAAAAAAGTTAGCTCTGATCTAAAAAGCAATGATGAGTGGTAGTCACATTAATTGAATTCCATAGCACTGTGTGTATACCTGTCTCATCTGCATATCTAGGTTTTTAAAACAGTTAAAAAGAGGTAATAAACCATTTTTGAAAAATCACTAAAGTTGCTTTTTCCCTCTTCAAAATTTTAGGCTCATCCAAAATACTTGAGTTGTATTGCCATCAGCTGTTTTTTCCTAGCTGCCAAGACTGTTGAGGAAGATGAGGTAATAATTCCTTTCAAGATATGTTTCTTCAGTGAAAATTTCTCTCCATTTATTAACTTGCTTGTTTGCCAAAACAAAAATTGAAAATGAGTTTCTTTCTGTCCTTTTCTCCCTGTCCCTGTTCCCTTTTGCTTTGGATAGAGAATTCCAGTACTGAAAGTATTGGCAAGAGACAGTTTCTGTGGATGTTCCTCATCTGAAATTTTGAGAATGGAGAGAATTATTCTGGATAAGTTGAATTGGGATCTTCACACAGCCACACCATTGGATTTTCTTCATATTGTAAATATACCTGAAGTCTTTTAGTTTCATATTTGAGTATGTAGTCTTCAGTAACTTAAAAAGTAGATTGCTACTCATTTATTTAGTACTGATTTTTAGGAAAAAAAAATTATTGATATCCAAGGAAATATTACAAATTAGTATGTATATCATATCACTGAAGCTTAAATCAAGAACTTAGAAATAGGTTAGGGTGGGCATGGTGGCTCATACCTGTAATCCTAGCACTTTGAGAGGCCAGGGTGGGCAGATCACTTGAGGTCAGGAGTTTGAGACCAGCCTGGCTCACATGGTGAAACCCTGTCTCTACTAAAAATACAAAAATTAGTTGGGCATGGTGGCAGGCGCCTGTAATTCCAGCTACTCAGGAGGCTGAGGCAAGAGGAATCCCTTGAATCTGGGAGATCATGCTACTACACTCCAGCCTGGGTGACAGTGAGACTCTGTCTCACAAAAACAAAAACAAATTGAATAGGTTACATCAATTTTTATATGTAATTTCCTAGATATTTAAATAAAGTTAAAATAATGTTCTTGTGATTTTCAGTTCCATGCCATTGCAGTGTCAACTAGGCCTCAGTTACTTTTCAGTTTGCCCAAATTGAGCCCATCTCAACATTTGGCAGTCCTTACCAAGCAACTACTTCACTGTATGGCCTGCAACCAACTTCTGCAATTCAGAGGATCCATGCTTGCTCTGGCCATGGTTAGCCTGGAAATGGAGAAACTCATTCCTGATTGGCTTTCTCTTACAATTGAACTACTTCAGAAAGCACAGGTAGGTGTGTTAGTCTAATTAAGTTGTATTTTTTTTTTAAGTTTTTCTATTATTGGAATACATAGATTTACCAAACTAAAAGGCATTTCTAATGTTGTAATGGCAAACCATTCTTAAGAGTAGACAGGAGTAAAATACGCATTTTAAATTTACAGGCTAGATGTTTTGTGTTTTCCTTATAGAATTTAGATAGTATTTTTAAGATTCCTTTTCACCATTTCTCTTATTTAAGAATTCTAAAATGTTAGTAAGATTGTCAATTCCATATTGTCCTTTAGTTTTGTGTAAAGAAACTTCCTAGCGACATCTGTAGGTTTTACTAGTACTTCTTCACTTCACTTATTTTATAACAGATGTCACAAACAAAAATTGGAATAAGTTGCTACAAGCAAATAATTTATTGTTGGCTAGTAAGTGAAATATTTATACCAGACTGGCGGGTAGAAGCTACTTTTCTGAAAGAGGTTTTGCCCTGGCAGTTCTGTTACTACCTAAGATTAGTTTGTAACTTGTATCTACAGATTGTTATAAAATGTATAGGTTGATAATTATCAACTACCTAAGTAAAATGTAAAGGTTCAGTGGAGAATATTCTCATTCAAATGGAAAGTTGGTGATAGTGCTGTATGTTAGCAGCTGCTTTGAGAGAAGACTTACTGGTTCTATTCATGTCACCAAATAGAACTTACCAAGTTTAGATCTGTTGCAAACCATTTTCCTGCCAGCTGAGTCCATAAAAGACTCATGAACCTACTTTCCCTTTATATGGCTATTTATTTATTTTTTTTTAATTTTTAATTTTTTATATGGCTATCTATTCTTATTTAACAGTTATTCTGGTTTGTTTTATTGGACTTTACTTAGAAGATTGTTAAATTCTAAGCCTGACATTTTGCAATAAACTAATTGTAGCAAAGGACTAATTGAGCTAAAAATTCAGAATATTTTAAAAGAAAAACGTAATAGTTGAATTTTAAAAAAATAAAGTTATAATTGATCTTACAGCAAATATTTTAAGAAGTATGTCTGAAGAAAATGAAGCAGGCCAGAAAAAATTTTTTTTTAAAAGATGTGAGTGCTTCCAAGAATTTTGGGCTCTAGTTTGTGAGCAGAGGAGGGCTCCGTCTTTTCATAAAAAAGGTTGATGATGAGAGCAGCATGTTAGCTAGAGATCTGTCTATGTAGTATAACACAGGCTGCTTTACATTTTCAAGGGATATCTTTTAATTGTCTTAGATTGAAATAATTAAATGCTATAAAGAGAATAAATCCTAGGAGGTAGTTGCTATTTAGTGAGAATTTTTAGAATTATGATAAACCCCATTTAAATGACGGACACAGAAAATTTACTTTGCCCACTATGGAGTGTTAGAAAGGAAAGTTGAATATTAATCACTCACATTAGACTGCGAAATAGAGTAATGGGGTTAATAGAAAACCTCTTATATTACATTATTTTTATTGGAACAAATGCATCTCTCTTAATGCCTTCTGACTTGGTCTCTGTGCTTATTCTCAAGATAGTACAGAAAAGATTGCTATAGAAAGTGTTAGTGTCAGAGGACAGATTTTGAAGCATAAATAATAATGTTGTAAATAGCATGTGTATTCTATAGCTTTCAGATCATGTCTGTAGCTTTCAGATCATGTTCTAGTGAAAAACACTGGAAAACCTCCTGATTCTCTTTAGTAAGTTTTCTGGTGCTAGAGGAAGAATATAGGCACTGAAACTTTTTTTCTCCTTAACTGAAGGAGAATTACAGACCTGGGATTTGACGGAATCTTTGGAGAAATTATTTCATTCAGCTCTTTTATAGCTCCAGCGTAGGAAACTGGAGACTTTCTTAGAGACTGCGTAGAGCTACTTAGTAGTGATTTAAAAGAACCAGCGCTTTTTTTTTCCATACCACACAAACCTTAAAAATTCAGTGGTTTTCATAATTGTTTTTTTTTTTTTTTTTTGAGACGGAGTTTTGCTGTTGTTACCCAGACTGGAGTGCAATGGCGCAATCTTGGCTCACTGCAACCTCCGCCTTCTGGGTTCAAGCAATTCTCCTGCCTCAGCCTCCCGAGTAGCTGGGACTATAGGCACGCACCACCATGCTCAGCTAATTTTTGTATTTTTAGTAGAGATGGGGTTTCACCTTATTGACCAGGATGGTCTTGATCTCTTGACCTCGTGATCCACCCGCCTCGGCCTCCCAAAGTGCTGGGATTTTAGGCGTGAACCACTGCGCCCGGCCCATAATTGGTTTTAAAAGTGGAACCCTTTCCCAGTCCTCCTTCCCCCAAGAAAATCTTGTACACACACAAATTCCAGAATATAGAATAGAAAAGTGGAGCTATACTTGTGTTTAAGGGCAGAGCACCACTCAACATGGCCTTTTCCCTTCCATAGCTGGCGATCTACCTATGTCATATAGGTTTAGATTATATTATTTAGGTAGTGTTTGGATGTAATTTGAAAACCACTATTCTAATCCTCTCATATACCTATATTAATAGTTATATTCCAAAAACATTTATTGAGAAATCTTTGTTTACACACTGGAAATAGTGAATTTTTTTTTTAAAAGAGATTTGCCCCATGTAATATTCAAGTTGCAGTGGGGAAATCAGTGAACAAAAGGAAAGTCATAAATTTTGGTAGAGACTTTGGGACTTGTTCTTGCAGTTCTGTTCTAACACCAACCAGTGTGGTCCAAACATGGATGGCTCCTAGTTCTTTAGGACTCATTTCTGTTTTTGCTAAGTTTCCTGTGTTCAGGTAAGAATACCAGGTCTTAGGTCTTTGTGATTAGACTGTGACAAGGCCACAATATCAGAGTTTTCTGGTTTTAGTATAGGAAACTCTTGCATAAGATTGATGAGATCATGCCAAAATATTTGTGACATGATTCCCAGTGTCTTGGTTTGAGGAGAGTATCACAGACATACCGTGCTGTGTGGAGGCCACTATCGCTAGTTCTGTCTGAGCCCCCTCTTTGAGACAAAGTATGGTGAGTGTTCCCCAGGTTTGAAAGGCAAACACTCTTTTGTCCCTCTTAACCTTCCACAGGTACACTCCCTTAAGCTCTTGTGCCACCTGTTGATCACCATTCTGGGATGACTAAACGTCTTTCTCTCCTTACCCTTCTTCTGTTGTGTGGTTGCGCTCACGTCCTCCTCTTTCTGATGCGACCCACCCTGATAGACTCAGGCTGTTAACTTTGCCTAGATTAGTGTGGTGGTCTTTGTGGTTCCTGGCTGGGCAGTAGTCAAAGAACATGCGCTCTACTTTAAAACTAGAGTAGGTACAGCCATAAAACAACAAAATCATGTCCTTTGCAGCAACATGGATGCAGCTGGAGGCCATTATCCTAAGTGAATTAACAGAAAGAGAAAACTAAATATCACACATTCTCACTTATAAGTGGGAGCTAAACATTGGGTACACGCAGACATAAAGATGGCAATAAGATAATGAGATATTTGTGTTATTATAACACAATAGAAAAGACCTTAAGATAACATAAAGATGGCAGTAGAAACTGGGGATTACTTGGGGGAGAAGGAGGGAGGGGAGCAAGGGTTGAAAAACTGTTGGGTACCGTGCTCACTGCCTGGTTGACAGGATCACTTACACTCCAGACCTCAGCATTATGCAATATATGCACCTAGGTAATAAACCTGCACATGTACCCCCTGAATTTAAAAGTAGAAAAAAAGCAAATTAAAAACTGGCCGGCCGCAGTTGCTCACGCATGTAATCTCAGCACTTTGGGAGGCTGAGGAAGGCAGATCGCCTGAGGTTGGGATTTCGAGACTAGCCTGACCAACATGGAGAAGCCCCATCTTTACTAAAAATACAAAATTAGCCAGGCATGGTGGCATATGCTTATAATCCCAGCTACTCAGGAGGCTGAGGCAGGAGAATCATTTGAACCTTGGAGGTGGAGGTTGCAGTGAGCCGAGTTGCACTGCAGTGCCCTTGCACTCCAGCGCCCTTGCACTCCAGCCTGGGCAATGAGCAGAACTCTCAAAAGAAAAAAACTAGAGTAGGGAGTTAAAGAAGCAGACCCCATGAGTCTCCTGGTTCTTTTTGAAGGTGGCTATGATCAGACTACTCCACCTGGTTGTTCTCAGTGCTTTGTGCTGTTCACCAAACCTGGATCCATCTGGACCTACCATTTATGTCATTTATTGTTAAATAATAAATATTCTCTTGACACTTCATAGTTAGAAAGAGTTCATTTTAAGTCTTCTGTACCAACTCTGTTAGAGGACTTGTCTGTTGTTGAGAGTTTTGGTAGTTTCAGTATTACGTGTTTATTTTGTTTCTTCCACTGGATCTCAAGAAGGAAAGGAACAAATTATTTTGGCTTTTTATAGAACAAATTCACATTGTACTAGATAAGTAGGAATTTATGTAATTTTGGACAAAAGATTTACTTGGGACTTGGGTGGAAGTGGAGTTAATACAGATGGTTTTGTTTTGAATAATTTCTAAGATCTTTTGTAGTTCTATAATTTCTTGTCAGTCTTCCACCTCTAAAATTTAACTCTCTATTTACTCAGCTTTTTCATGCAGAAAAATTATAGTGACATAGTCTTCCTCTTACTTACATAGATCCTTTTTTAGGATTCTACCATGGTATCGATTCTGCCATGGCATTTATTAGGCCCAGTGACCAAGGCATTAGAGTATTTGTGGTATTTTTACTTTTCTGGCCAATAAATATCATTCATTTGCTAAAGAACATTTCATTAAATGAGGTACAGTTAGCTGTTTGTATCCGTGGGTTTGGCATCTGAATTCGACCAACCGTGAATTGAAAATATTTAGGAAGAAATTTCACAGTTCCAAAAAACCTTGAATTTGTCACATGAGTATTACATTGCATCCACACAGATGAAGTGATATGAAGGCATTCTATTAGGTATTTACAAATAATCTAGGGATTATTTAAAATATACAGGACCATGTGAGTGGGTTATATGCAAATAGTATACTACATAAGAGACTTTAGCATGTTTGGGTTTTGTTACCTGTTGAGGGATCCTAGAACTAATCCTCCATTAGTTACTGTACTTATTTTTTAGAAATAGTTTCTATACTATAGCCCCTTTTTCATTTCCCAGTTTCTTTCATTTCTTTTTTGAAGGCTTTAAAAAATATTGGCAGAAGCTTTCTCTGCTTTGTTCCAATGTTTTTAGCATGTTTCAGCCTGTTCTGTATCCCTGGGATACATGATAAGACCTAGCCTAAATGTAAGCTTGATAGTTCAGGAACTACCTTAAGTGTTAGGTAATTCTTTTTCTTTTATGGGAGGAAAAAAATTTCTAATACTAGTGTGTCTTACCCATAGTGTGTTATCTAGTGGCTTTCAAACTAGGGAAAAAAATCAGTGAACAAAAATGGTAGCTGCTAAAATGTGCCATTTTCTTGTGTATTTCTGACAGTTTCAGTTATTTTGCATTTGTATTTTACAATGACTACCATCAGCCTTTTACTATTCTTTCTTCTGGTATTTTTCAGTAACAATGTATTTAGAGATAAAAATAATTTTATAACCAAGTGTGTTCTTACAGTGCTTTATTTTCCTCTATTTTCTCTGTGGTGTTGCAAACAATCATGGTGTGTGCTTCAGATTCTATGAGGATGAATAAGACTTGGTCCAGAAATGTCCAAAATACCCAAAACTGGAAAAAAGTGATCCCCGATAGTTAAATGGTTAAGATAGGCTTCTTGAAGGTCATAGTGTTTAGCCAGGCCTAGGAGAATAGGCAGTATAATTTGAACAGGTAGAAATAAGATGATTAAGGGTAAAGTAAGAAAGGGGAAGAGCTGTGCATCATAAAGAGCAGGACTGTTTTGCTAGTGAGAGTGTAGCCCACAAGTTGAGGGTGTGCTAGGAAATAAGGCTAGAAAAGAAGGTTGGGGTCTGATTATGGAGATTCTTACTAAACCAAGGAGTTTAGTTTATTTTTGATAGGCATTGGGGTGCCACTGAAGAGAGTTGGGGAGGAATATATGATGCTAAGGTTATTTTGACAGTGCTATAATTATAGGGAACATGAGGCAGAAAGACACTTTACTACAGGTAATAATTTGAAGGCCTTCATTGTACAGTCATTGTGTAAGAAACTTAGGGATAAAAAGATGAATATAATACAATGCCTGCATCTTCGGTCTTGTAGTCTATAATGGAAAGGCTAAATGGTTAAATAGATTATTATAATGAAATGTGGTAAATATGTTAAAAGAGTTTAGTGTCTTTGTTTTGAGATAGTCTTGCTCTGTCGGCCTGGCTGGAGTGCAATGGCTTGATCTCAACTCACTGCAACCTCCACCTCCTTGTTTCAAGCCATTCTGATGCCTCAGCCTCCTGAGTAGCTGGGATTACAGGCATGCACCACCACGTCCAGCTAATTTTTTGTGTTTGCAGTAGAGAAGGGGTTTCGCTATGTTGGCCAGGCAGGTCTTGAACTCCTGGCCTCAAGCAATCACCCGCCTCGGCCTGCCAAAGTGCTAGGATTATAGACATGAACCATTACACCTGGCCATAAATATGTTAAAAGGTTGATACAGAAACAGATGACCATGGCATTTAGGTTTGGGGTGTTGAGGGAGTCAGGGATAACTCCAGAAAGGATTAATAATTGTCCTGAAGGGTAAGGAGGAATTAGCAAAACTCCCAAATTAAAAACTTTACCCAAACATTTCATCTTAGTGTTGAGTCTATATTTAATATAAAATACTAAATTTTTCATTTACTGCTTTAAAATTCTTAGCTTCCTTCCTCATCCCTGATTTATAATTTTTTTTTTCTTTCTGTCTTCTTAAATTTATAATGAATGTGTTTATCAGTACTTTGGACTCCACTGAAAAAAAATTAGAAGAGGCCAAGAGGGTAGGATGAAGGGCCTTCTAGAGAGGGGGAGTAGACTGAAAAAAATAAATAAAGCAGACATTGGATATATAGCAGTGAACAAGAAAGTAGTTTCTGCTCTCATGTAAATGTTCAGCATACTGTTGCAAATACAGAACTCAAGTTCCAAAGATATTTATAGTAGAAATACAGATTTGGACCAAATTTCTAAGATAATGATAATGGATGGGTAGGCCAGATAAATAGATGAGTATGAGGTAGAAGATGTGGGAAGAGAAAAGACTCAGCAGGGACAAAAAGCACAGGGAGGAAAAATGGCCAGCAGAGATAACAGAGCAGCCTATGTTAATTAATGATCAGCTGTGGTATTCTTTCTTCCCCCCCCGGCCCAGATGGATAGCTCCCAGTTGATCCATTGTCGGGAGCTTGTGGCACATCACCTTTCTACTCTGCAGTCTTCCCTGCCTCTAAATTCCGTTTATGTCTACCGTCCCCTCAAGCACACCCTGGTAACCTGTGACAAAGGAGTGTTCAGATTACATCCCTCCTCTGTCTCAGGCCCAGACTTCTCCAAGGACAACAGCAAGCCAGAAGTGCCAGTCAGAGGTACAGCAGCCTTTTACCATCATCTCCCAGCTGCCAATGGGTGCAAGCAGATCTCTGCTAAACGCAAAGTAGAGGAAATGGAAGTGGATGACTTCTATGATGGAATCAAACGGCTCTATAATGAAGATAATGTTTCAGAAAATGTGGGTTGTGTGTGTGGCACTGATATATCAAGACAGGAGGGACATGCTTCTCCTTGTCCACCTTTGCAGCCTGTTTCTGTCATGTAGTTTGAACAAGAGTTACCTTTGAGTGTAAACTAAGGTAGACTACTCTTGGGAATGAAAACATGGAAAATGAGGAAAGGCTGTAGAAGGAAATATACCTTACCAGGCTGATTTGGAGTAAGCCAGAAAAAAAACACATTATTTGTGTGGCTAATTATAATTCAACATTATTTAAGCACATAAAGACAAAAAAAAAAAATCCAAAAGATCCAAACTTTTTTTATACTTAAAAAGTCACTTTGTAGTATGTCCATTGCACTTTTTTTCTGCCATAATGTAACGTAGCTTGCCCCATCAAAAATTCAGTTAAAATTCATAGCCAGCAAACCTGTTCCCCCCTCAGCATCCTGATTTAATTTTCCCATTGCTTTTGTTTGCTTCTCCATTTAATAGTTAGTGAACTTTATGCATGTTGATCTGTATTCTGATTTTCACTGAATAGGAAACCCCAAAATTATTTTTTAGCAATTGAATGAACAAATTATTTTGGTGTGACAGCCATGATTCAGTTAAGTTTAAAAAGGGTACTTTGGAATTGTCCCATATTAATGAGAGAGAGCAACAGAAAAAGTTCCCATACTACCTTTTGTGTCTCATTTCAAATTTTAATTTAAAATTATGGTTTTCATTTTTGTTTACCTTAAAGTGATGCTTAAAAGTTGCATGTAATTAGGACACTTAGATTTGTTGAAAGCATTTTTGATATTTGTATAAAATATTTGCGATAAAGTTAATATATCCTGGTGCTCACCAAAGAAACATGTATGTAACAACTGAAATTAGATTTCTGTAACTGATTAGTTTTCACTCATTTATAATCAGTAGGAGAGACTGTCTAGATGTTGGGGCAGCTCTATGATTTGAGTCTGTAATATGTCATAACTGAATTAAGTACCCTAGTTTTATGTTAAACTGTTAGAACTTACTCCCCCTACCTCCCCAGCCTACCTATATCTCTTAATAACTTCTGGATCCTGAGCTCCCTTTGCAGTCTGAAAAAGGTATTGCAGTCAGAACTGTGTACTGATGATAAAAGCCTCTGGTAGCAATAAAAAGTTGTCCTTAACTTTTGTTTCTGTGACTTTTTTTCTGGTTGTGAAGAGGTGCAGGTTCTTGATTGGCTAGGCGCTGCTATTTCAACTAGAGAAAACATTGGAAAGACTAAGAATATACTTACTGAAAATAAAACATGAAGAAAAGGGGATCTGAATGTAATTGAGGAATACAGGTTTTAGACATAAGAATTTTTCTTTTATGGTATTCACTGGTACACGGTGAATCTTTCAAATAGTAAATTCTCATCTTAATGTGACTGCTTGTGAGGGTAGGCTCAGACCCATCTTTAACATGTCATTTTTAGTCGTTTTTAATTTTCAGATTTAGCAGAAAAGAGTGTTTTCAGGTCAACATCTGATTTGTAAAAAATTTTTGTGGTAGGGTTGACTACCTGTTTTATGACCTTAAAATCCAATTAAATGGGAAGCATTTACTCACATCAGTACAGGCAGTGGGAGGGAAGATGGCAAAGGATTGCCTTCAGAGACACACGTTAAAAAAATTTCTCATTCTGATCTTCATCTGTTGAATTCATCTGAATTGTAGGAGCTCTAAGAAGTTTACAACTGCATATATTCATAGTATCTGTATAATGAATTGAGACTTAATTCTTTCTCTTCCTCCTGTTTAACAGATGAGGACACAGTTGGGTTATGTAGAAAGCTAGGGATACAATTGAGTTTATAGTCAATATTTTATTTGTAGTCCAGTAGCTGCAAATTGAGCAGAATGTTAGAGGACAATAGGATTTTCATTTTTTGGTCTTAAAGTTTTCAATATTTAAAAATTGCTGGTAAGTCAGTTTGTAACAGCATTCTTTTCATGGGACACCAAATCAAGTAGGATAGTGGGCTGCTAAGCTCTCATGCCTCAAAGCTTGTATTTAACCCATTGCTCTGTTCAGTGATAGTACTTTGGAGACCTGGCCCTCAAGAGCACTCTGGCACTGTTACACTTTCTTAGCCACCGTTTCAGAGGCCTGAGCCTGCTTCCTCACGACTGACTTTGGGCCCTTACAGAACTGTGGCTTGTGACAGAAAGCATAGTATTCTTGAACAGTGTAGAACTTCTCATTAACAATGTTCCTGGGCCGGGTGTGGTGGCTCACGCCTGTAATCCCAGCACTTTTGGAGGCCGAGTTGGGCGGATCATGAGGTCAAGAGATCGAGACCATCCCGGCCAACATGGTGAAACCCTGTCTCTACTAAAAATACAAAAATTAGCTGGGTGTGGTGGTGCGTGGCTGTACTCTCAAGCTACTCGGGAGGCTGAGGCAGGAGAATTACTTGAACCTGAGAAGCGAAGGTTGCAGTAAGCCGAGATCACACAACTGCAGTCCAGCCTGGTGCCTGGCGATGGAGCGAGACTGTCTCCAAAAAAAAAAAAAAAGAATGTTCCTGCTGCCCTTCTTTTTATCTGAAATGATTCTCAGCCTGTCCCAAGTTACTTGTGTTAAACTTTGGCATCACATCACAAACTCAAGATCTGGAAACTTGAGCATTACATCATTATGCATCATAATTGTCTGGTGCCTCCTGGTGGTTAAAAAAACCTGTCACTCAGTGAAGCCTCTGGAAAAGCAAGGGAATATACTTGATGGGCGAACATGTTCTAGCCCTCACAGATTACAAGCTAAATATTTTACTTCATTCTCTACGAGATAGATACGAAGTAGTTATATGGAGAACTAGAAGTTTTCTCTACAGGTAGATGATGTATTAGTTCGTAGGGGGGAGGGAAAGCTGGGAAGGCAGTGCCCCCAAATGTCAGTAGAAGGTCAACTATAGGCCGGGTGTTGTGGCTCCCAGCACTTCGGGAGGCCGAGGAGGGCAGATCACAAGGTCAGGAGTTTAAGACCAGCCTGGCCAATATGGTGAAATCCAATCTCTACTAAAAATAGAATTAGCCAGGTGTAATGGCGGGTGCCTGTAGTCCCAGCTCCTAGGGAGGCTGAGGCAAGAGAATCCCTTGAACCCAGGAGGTAGAGGTTGCAGTGACCCAGGATCACACCACTGCAATCCAGCCTGGTGACAGACAGACAGACTCCATCTAAAATAAAGAAAAAGGTTGAATATAACCAGTTGCTCATAAATGTTCCTGACAGTGCCTTTGGCTGTGGAGGAAGGTAGAACGTAGTGAGGTTTATGCCAAGAAGTACTATTTATTTTCTCCTGTGTTGTTAGAGCCAACCACTTCTGTGCTCTTTACATAAGTGAATTTTGAAGCTTTTAAATTTACTCCTAGATTTTTTTTTTTTTTTTAAGAGGGGTTTCACCATGTTGGCCAGGCTGGTCTCGAACTCCGCATTACCTCAGGTGATCCACCGGCCTCAGCCTCCCAAAGTGCTGGGATTACAGGTGTGAGCCACCATGTCCAGCCGTACTCCTAGGTTTCCTAAAGCAAGTTACATGAGCATTAATGCCCAAAGCAGCATGGTGGCCTTTCACTTGAGAAGAAAATGCGGTTAAGCTACTGATGCACAGCCAATATGATGAGGAGCTTATCTTTAGATAGTCTGCAGATTTTCAACTGGAAAGTGAAGATACTATGTCACATGTTCTCACATCATCCTGGCAGATGCATCTCCGGTTTACATAGCTAAAACGTTTTTAACAGGATTCAATTCTAACTCATCTCAAACCTTTACCCTTTTTATCTGACATCATGAAGTTTTGTCTAATGTGTAAATGTTAACTTCTAAAGCCTCCAAAACTCTGTCTTTAAATTACGTTGAGAATGTCTCCTTTATCTGTTATCAGATGTTATGAGCTTTGACCACTAGATGGTGCTCCTAGAAAAATACAGCATCTTTTTAAATTTCTGGGAGAAATCGAGTTTGGGTTTAATGTATGGTAGTAAGCAGTTGAATACTCGTCTGGTTGCTAAGCCAACTGTGTTGGCTTACTTACAAGTTCACATTACTTAAGGTACAGGAGGTGTGTGTGTGTGAGAGACTGAGGGAACCTTGGCACGATCAGCCAGGCTTAAGGGGCAGATGGTGACTGGGTATCAAGTTTCAGACCGAGAAAAAGCAACCAGTCTTACAGATCTCAATTAATGAATTGTGTAGTTCTGCAAAAGGGCCTAGAAATACAATTGAGAAAGGCTGAATATAGCCAAGTCCCCAAACCTTGCTGCTCTGTTTGAGTTGGATTTGGCCAATCATTTGGAGAGAAAAGATGAAGCGCATGCTTATTTAGCACAGCTTGCATCAGGGAATTATATCACAAGCTTTCCCTCACCATATTTGGGGGCTTTTATCATGTATGTAAGACAAATAGAGCCATAACTCTCCCTTGTACCACTTTTTACTTGAAAAAATGTAATAAGGTAACCAAAAGGTCTCATTTATATATAGCTGCTAATCAGGAATAGCAAGGTAGGAAAGGGAGATGGGTAGACACCTAGGCTCCCAATTAGTCTTCTCAAATTAGCATAGATGGGTACAATAGATGATACTTGTAATCTCAGCATTTTGGGCAGCTGAGGTGGGAGGAATGCTTGAGGTCAGGAGTTTGAGACCAGCTTGGGCAACATGAGAACCCATCTCTACAAAAAAAATTAGCCAGGCATAGTTGCTAGTGCCTATGGTCCTACCTACTCAGGAGGCTGAGGTGGGAGGATTGCCTGAACCAAAGAGGTTGAGGCAGCAGTGAGCCATGATTGTGCCCGTATACTTCAGCCTAAGCAACAGAGTGAGATGCCACCAAAGAAAAAAAAAGTTACTACAATCAATCCCTTTACCAGCCCTGGGTATGCCAGTTGCTTGCTAGAGACTGAAACAAGCACAAAACTAGATATCTTGGTCTTAAAAATTCAAGCACTAGGAACTCTGAAGTGAGCCATACTGCCAACACTGTCAGTCTCAAGGTAAGTCAGTTGTAAAACAAAAGCTTTCAAAGGTGGCTTAAAAAAACTGTAATAGTCTTTTGTATGTTTCTTTTTTTTTGTTTTTTTTTTTTTTTTTGAGACAGAGTTGTGCTTTGTCACCCAGGTTGGAGTGCAGTGGGGCAATCTTGCCTCCCTGCAACCTCCACCTCCTGTGTTCAAGTCATTCTCCTGCCTGTTTCCTGAGTAGCTGGAATTACAGGCACAGGCCACCATGCCTAGCTAATTTGTATATTTTTAGTAGAGACAGGGTTTCACCATATTGGTCAGGCTGTTCTCCAATTCCTGACCTCAAGCAATCCACCCGCCTCAGCCTCCCAAAGTGCTGGGATTACAGGCAAGAGCCACTGCACCTGGCCATGTATTAGTTTGTTAGATACCAGAAATGTTTACCCATAATCTGGGCCAATATCAGGCAAATAAAAATAAAAGTAACCAAAATAAGAAGGAAGTTTCATTTGATAAGTACTGTTGATGGGGAAAAGAAGTTTGGTCAGTGATTGTGGGTGAGGACCTGTTTCTATCTGTCCAGCTCAGTGCCTAACGATTGAGAAAACTGGATCTCTCCTTTATATATGTGCTGGGCTAATGTCAAGGAGACCATCTAGACCATGCTTTTATCAAGGCAGAGTCTGTATCTGAAAAGAACTAATATTTAAGATTGAATGAAGAACAAAAAGAACTATTTTATTACCAGTGGAAATAGGTTTAGATGCCTCACTTCTCCCTGCTTCGCTTTTCCACAATCTTGAGATAAGCCAATACTTTTTATTGCTAGGGGCCAGGCGCGGTGGCTCACGCCTGTAATCCTAGCACTTTGGGAGGCCAAGGTGGGTGGATCACCTTAGGATTAGGAGTTCAAGACCAGCCTGGCCATCGTGGTGAAACCCAATCTTTGAAAAAAAAAAAATTTTTTTTTTTAAATTTTTTTATTGCTAATAATTTTATACCCAGGATGACTTCACACCCCTTACTTGGTCATCCAGGAGAAAAACTACCAGCTTTATCAACACTGGAGAAAAAGAACTGCCTAGGGTAAAATGCTAAATCAATGGCAGTCTATCTTAGGGGAAGAGAAATGGCAAGGCACTTGGCTGGCCAGAGGTGTACATGATCAGGTTC